ACTACATATAAAATCTCGCTATATATAAAAATTGTATCTCTGTCTCTAGTGAAACTAGGTCCCTCTCTCTCACTCTGCACAAAAGTTGACTCAAGCTGATACAGTGGCTTACACCTATAATCTCTGTGACTTGGGAGGCTGAGGTAGGAGGATCCCAAGTTGGGCCAGCCTGGGTGATTTACAATACCTTCTCAAAATAAGAAATAAAAAGAGGTAGGGATGGGCTGGGGATGTGGCTCAAACAGTAGCACGCTCACCTGGCATGCATGCGGCCCGGGTTCAATCCTCAGCACCACATACAAACAAAGATGTTGTGTCCGCCGAAAACTAAAAAATAAATATTAAAATTCTCTCTCTCTCTCTCTAAAAAAATTAAAAAAATAAAAAGAGGTAGGGATGTGACTCAATGGCAGAGTGCCCCAGTACCAGGAAAAAGAGAAAAAATACAAAAAAAAGTCAACTCAGAGTGGATCATGAAAGATCTAGGAATTAAGTCAGAAAGTTTGCAACTGCATAGGGCACTACTATACATCTAAGTGAAGTCAATGATTTCCTCAAAAGAACTCTTACAGCTCAGGAAATGATACCAAGGCTGAATAAATGGGATGGCAGCAACTTAAAAAGCTTCTACAAAGTAAAAGGAGCAAGTGTGAAGAGAGTCCACAAAATGGGAGAAGCCCGGGGTGTTGGTGCACATCTGTAATCCTAGAGCCTCCGGAGGTTGAGGCAGGAGGATCACCTTGGAAATTTAGCAGGGCCCTTAGTGAGACCCCGCCTCAAAATAGAAAACACTGAAAAGGACTGGGGATGTAGCTCAGTGGTAAAGCGCCCCTGGGTTAAATCCCCAGTACCAAAACAAAGCACAAAATAAAACAAAAAACTGAGAAAATCTTTGCCAGCTCCAATTCCAACAGAGGATTAATATCCAGAATAAAGAACTCAAAATTTAACTTAGCACCAAAAAACCCCCAAATAGCCCAATCAATAAATGGGCAAATGAACTAAACAGACAAGTCTCAAAAGTTTTGTTTTTGTTTGTGGTACTGGGAATTGAACCCAGGGGGCCCTACCACCAAGCTGCATCCTAGCCTTTTCTTTTTTAATATCTTTGTTTTGTTTATTTATCTTTACGTGATGCTGAGATCCAACCCAGTGCCTCACCCATGCTAGGCAAGTGCTCTACCCTGAGGTACAGCCCCCGCCCCCGCCCCAGCCTGCTTTATGTTTTTTGCGGGGAGGTACCAGGGATTGAACTCAGGGATACTCAACCACTGAGCCACATCCTCAGCCCTATTTTGTATTTTATTTAGAGACAGGGCCTCACTGAGTTGTTTAGCACCTCACTGTTGCTGAGGCTGGCTTTGAACTTGAACTTTGAACTTCGGAGCCTCTAGGTTTATAGGTGTGTGCCACCATGCCCAGCATGTTTTATCTTTTATTTTGAGACAGGGTCTCACTAAGTTGTACAATCTGGACTCAAACTTGAAATCCTCCTGCCTCAGCTTCCCAGGTAGCTAGGATTACAGATGTGCACCACCATGCCAGGCTCAAAAGAAGAAATTCAAATGACAATAAATATGTGAAAAAATACTCAACGTCTTTAGCAATCAGGGAAATGCAAATCAAAACCACACTGAGATTTCAGGATTGGGGGCTATAGCTCAGTTGGTAGAGTGCTTGCCTCAAATGTGCAAGGCTCTGGGTTCAATCTCCAGCACAACACACACACACACACACATACACACACACAAACTACACTGAGATTTCATTTTACTCCAGTTTTAATGGTAGCCACCAAGAAGACATGTAATAATAAATGCTGACAAGAATGTGGATTAAGAGGAACACTTACACACTGTTGGTGGGATTGTAAATTAGTACAACCATCATGGAAATCAGTGTGGAGATTCCTCAAAAGAACAGGAATGGAATCACCATATGACACCGAGGAGTTTTAATTCAGCACCACATATAAATAAATAAAATAAAGGTCTATCAACACTACAAAAATAAATAAATAAATAAAGGTATACATCGAAATAATCTGCCTTCTTGTACACTACGGAGTCATTCAAAGTGTAATGGGAAATAGGCTTTTCAGAATATCCACAAGAATGTAAAATAGCTAGAAGTAAATTAATAATTATTCAAGACTCCTAATATGAAAGAAAATTAAGAAAATTGTAGAGCTTTTTTAAATAAGAAAAAGCTAAATCAAACAAAATATTGCCTAAACATACATATATGTGTGAGAAAACTCAAAGGATCAGCCTGAGGGTGTGATGGGGGTCCTTTGCTTGCTCTGCTGAATGGTGTGCCATTGTTTAAGTAAATCTACTGTAATAAAGAGGAACAAAATTATGTCATTTGCAGGAAACTGGTTGGAACTGAAGAGCATCATTTTGAGGCAAATAAATCAGACTCAGATAGTCAAGGGTTGTATGTTCTCTCTCATATGTAGAAGCTAGAGAGAAAACATAATTTTAAAAGGGAGTTCATGTAAACTAGTAGAGTAAGGGATGAGGGTCAGGGGGAGAGAGGAGGGAAGGAAAGGAGGAGGTTACTGGGGAGGGAAGTTGACCAAATTGTGTTATGTGCAAGTAGAAATATGTCACCATGAGTCCCACTGTTATGTATGATCATAAATAAAAATGTAGAATAAATTAAAAAATTTAAAGTGCAACAAAAAAAGATTCTGGTGTCAGATTTCTGGGGGCAAATTATTTAATGTCTACACCTCAGCCTTCTCATCTATAAAATGGATTACTGTATTAGATTGTAGTGAGGATTAAATGAATGAATACACACAAAGCATTTAAGACTGACAATGGGAAGTTTCATAGAAAGGTTAGCTCCTCCTCCTCCTCCTCCTCCTCCTCCTCCTCC